AACGTTCTACCCGTTCCCGAATGGGTAATAGAACGTTTACACAGTGCCATTTTCGAAAATCTGAGGCAAAAGACCAATTTCAATCCGGTCAAAAGAGAGGCACTTTTCTTACCCGTCAAAAACGGGGGTCTCGGAATTTTATCACCGAAGGAGCAAAGCCTTACACTTCGCCTCAAAACACTCTTTCAGCTGAAAGAATGCGGAGAGGATAAAACTCACGATTATTATTACTTTTCAAAGTACTGGTTAGCAAGTTCAATTATAAAATTTACAAACCAAAACTTTTTAAAACTTTTTAAAACAGAACAATTTTCCAAAACACTGGGACAAAAAAATGTCTCAGTACTACAAAACAACAATTGAAATATTAGACAAAAACGGATCCCTGTTTAACATCCCCCTAAAATCAACAAAAAAAATTTATTTAGAAGTGGCAAAAAAAAAAAAAAAGACAGTCGTGCCAGCAGAACATTTCTAGAACGGTTCAACAAAAACAACAAAGCCGTGGGCACAAATTTGGAAAAAAAACCTCCCTTCCCACGCATGCGGATCGACACAAAACATCCTCTTTCGATTTTTACACAACAGTCTACCTTCTGCGGCCTTGCTAGCCAAAAACACAAGGCAACAGATCGTAAAAAATAACAAATGCAAAACTTGTGGTAAAATTGAGGACAACATTCATATCTTTGCCTACTGTCCTCCTTCTGTTGAAATATGGGAGTGTTTTAAACATGTATATAACTCCTTGACATCCCCAAACAATTTTTCTCCGATAAATTCGATTTTCTCAATTGAAACAGCGAATTTATCGGAAAAAAACCCTACCTCGCAGCTGCTGTTGAAAATTGTATTCTCTATAGAGTTCGTATAGTAATTTTAGTGTTACCGTCCTGTAACTTTTTTTTTTTTGTTTAATAAAAATCTTTTTTCTTCAAAAGTTCTAAATTTCTTTTTACTACCCTTTGCAAATCTTTATCTTACCTTACGATTTCCTTCCGCACAGCGTTCCTTTTATAAAAAAAAAAACATAAAACACAAAAAAAATATGAAATTAGAAAATACAAAAAAATATAAAAAATATAAAAAAAATGTAAATGTCTAGGGAGTTTTATCACGTGATATTTTATCGCTAAAGTTATTTAATTCTAAATGTTTCAGCTTTGTTTAAATACAAGTAAATTAAGATAATTCTTTCGTCCCAACATTAAAATAGATTCTGCAACTACTTATTTATTATGTCAATAAGTTTTTTTTTTTTTTTTTTTTGTAGTTTAATAGGGTAGGTTTTTTGTTTTCTAACTTTCCCCCGTCTTTAGATATTTTTGAGCATAATCAAAATTTAATAAGGTAAATTTGCTGTTTTTCTTATACAAGTTAAGTAATCTAAGAATTTTTTCACACATGAATTTTTTTTTTATATACCTGAAATTTTATTACATGTTTTTACTTACAGCATTATAAAGTGGGTTTATTTTTATGTTTTTGATGCTGTTGTTGCTAACCAATTAGTGATTTAATTACAACAGTTTATCAGTAAGTCTTATTTATAACTTACAAAAATAATATATATATAGGGGAGAGTCGGGTAATGGCGAACGCGGGGTAATTCCGAACAAGGTCGTTACGGCATGTTAGAAAAGGATAGTTGACAATCTTTTTTTTTATCTGACAAGAGTTGGTTCCATGCTCAGTTCCAGACGTGCAATAGTGTATTATAGATGCGCTGGTTCTTCAAGGTAGATTGATTTTAAGTTTTTCTCTTAGTTTTATGTAATTTTTATTTGCGAAACATTTATTTATTGGCTATACTATGTATATAAAACCACACATTTATTTATGTTGTTGCAAAGTATCATAACCATGGAGTTTGTAACACGTATTATATTTAAGGTATGATAATACTACCTCAATATAATCGTTTAAATTCATTTGGTTGGATCGCGGGGAAATAACGAACGATCTTTGTGGGGTAATCGCGAACGCTTATTGTCTTCAAAGTATTCTAGCGTATATGATAACAACGGAATATTTTTAATAATAACACACGGAATATTTTTAATAATAACAACGGAATATTTTTAATAATAACACACGGAAGATTTTTAAATAAAGTTATTATACATTATTTATTTAGTTTATTATTGTAATATATATATATATATATATATATATATATATATATATATATATATATATATATATATATATATATTATATATATATATATATATATATATATATATATATATGCTCTCAAATGCGTATAAAGAACAGAGCACTAATAAATTAGTAAAAAACACTTATGTAATTTTGTATTCAATTCGTACTTTTACCTTCTGTATACAGAAGGTAAAAGTACACACACATACTATTAGAAAGTATCCAGGTCACGTTACATTTAATTCATGTAATATTTTATTTGGTTTGAATAAAATTTATTGATATTTGTTTCTTTAACGTTTGATTTAATTAAAATTTTATTCAATAATATTTTAACGCTTCAATCAAGTTTGATTTGCTTTGATCAACATTTTATTCGCTGTTAGCCAATAATATTCGTGATTACCCCGCTGTATGTTCGGAATTACCCCACGTACGTAGGGTAATTCCGAACACCGAAGGTTTTGTTTTTAATCAAATTTTTTATTTTTTAATAAGATATATGAAAATTGCTCTTGAGTGATTCTAACCAAATGGTTAGACTAAATAATAAGCAAAAAATAACATTAATATATAGTAATAATTGTCTTTAATTCGCATTCCCGCTTAGCTGTTCGCCATTACCCCACTCTCCCCTATATATATATATATATATATATATATATATATATATATATATATATATATATATATATATATATATATATATATATATATATATATATATATATATATATATATATATATATATATATATATATATATGTATATATATATATATATATATATATATATATATAAAATTAAATAAATTTATATATTTGTTCGAAATGATGACTGGAAAATCTATATTTATTTAGATAAAATGATCAATGCAAGTATTTATGATTGGTATTTGACATTAAAAGATACATCTTATCATACAATATATTGTAGATGTTGCGTGGATTTCAATGTTAAACTGTTTTGCTGCAAGAAAGCTTTAGCCAAAAAGATATAGATTAGTTGATACCATCAGAAAGTTAAAGAAACAGCGAACAACTATTATTATAATTGTTAGGTGTAGCCTTTTTTCTACCTGTGGCAAATTTCCTCATAATACAGTGCAGGGGCGGATCCAGCATTTTTTGGTGTTTGAGATAGCTTACTTCCAGACATGGAGCAAACTCCAAACATTTACATGTTTATACTTATATCAAGTAAGGATGGTTTGCAAAAAATTGCGATGATTGGAGCTTGGGAACAAAAAAGCCCCAAAATTTGAGACGTACCTGCCCCAAACGTGAGAGCAACAAGTTGATAAAATATTTTTTGTACTATTCTCAACAAGACTTATATTTATCAATAAATTTTAAATTTCATAGTAAAATATTTTAGCGCTCAAAAATTATGACCATATAAAAATTGTGACCCCCTCGAATTGAGGGGGATTCAAACTTTACATGGTCATAATTTTTGAACGCTGAAATATTTTACAATAAAATTTAAAATTTATGGATAAATATAAGTCTTGTTGAGAATAGTACAAAAAATATTATATCATCTTGTTGCTCTCACGTTTGGGGCAGGTACGTCTCAAATTTTAGGGCTTTTTTGTTCCCAGGCTCCAATCATCGCAATTTTTTGCAAACCATTCTTATTTTATATAAGTATAAACATATGAATGTTTGGAGTTTGCTCCATGTCTGGAAGTTAGCTATCTCAAACACCAAAAAATGCTGGATCCGCCCCTGCAGTGAATGCATCTGGAATTTCTAAAGAAACAATACTAATAAGGGAAAAAATAATGCTGAAAAAAGTAAATAAAATTTTCAAAAGGAAAATGGAATCTATGATTTAAAAATTGAATCTATGATGGATTTAAAAATAAATTATTTTACACATCTAATAGATTTTGAAGATATGCAATATTGAAGGTATGCAATAAAGAAAAACCAATAAAGGCAAAAGTGCTCCTTTATCAACTAAATTTTTATCGCATAATCTTAGGTGTCGAATGTGCCAAAAATCTTTTTTGTAAAACAAAAACAGAAGAAAGCAAAATGAAAAACTTGTCTTCGGAGGAATTATATCAAAATCTTCTTATTGGGTAAAAATTTCTCAAAAAACACAAAAAAACACAAATCTGCACCCTAGATCACCAAAATTTTTGAAACTTGGCACAAATGTTTACAGACATATGTTTAGAAAGATTGTAATTTTTTTTCATAAAATTCCTTACCGTTTATAATTTACAGCAATTTGAAGTTTCCTTGATTTTGACTAAAAACTGGGGGAGAAGGTGGGGGGGGGGGGGGGAAAGAAAATGCCGAAAATCATTCCGTTTACTTTCACCTTAATATGGTGCTTGTAGTGATGCCACAATTCTGAAACTTTGTACCAAAACAGTTTAAAACCTGTTAAATCCGAAAAATATAGTTTTTTATATGTCAAAACAAGGAAATGTAGCTTATTTTAAGATCCATAAAATACACTTTATAACGCCGAGAAAAAAGGGCATTGACAAATATAGCTATAAAAAAATCTGACTGATATAAAAAAAATTTAATTTCGATTTTCTTAAAAATAAGATCAACACCTAATTTTCGAACCAATTTTGTTTTGACCTTATATTTACTTGAGGAATAATTGTTGTTTGATATAGACACAAAATTTTTTAATATTTTTTAAATTAGACTCTTAATATAACCCCACCTTTTACCAATCAATCAAGTTAGAAACTAAAAATTTAGTGACTTTATTATCTTTTTCATTTTCATATGATATTTACAACAAAATTTAAACGTATATAAATTTTATTTTAAATATACTAAACTTTAGTGATTTTATATGTTTTACATTCGCATTATTTACAAGTTGGTTCACAAAACATAATATTAAAAAAAATAATGGATAAGACATAAAAGATTCATAAATATAAAAACCTCTACTTCCTTAGGAAAATAATTTTTTTTAAGTCCTCTTTGGCTAAATAATAGCAAAGTCCTGTTTTTGTTATCGGTACCTCAACTTTGCAAATAATGTAGACATCAGGAATCCAGCATTGGCTTTCCTTTGGTGGCCATTTAAACGACCGTGCAGGACCATTAAGATACATAAATTTTACAAGCACATCTTTTTCTTCTAAATTAATATCTTCAATGACTCCTCCACTTTTGCTCATAGGAAACACAGGCGTAATTATCTGGTACTAGGTTTACAGTTGTTATCTGGATATTTCCAAGTCATGAATTAAAGCAAAATCTTCATCAACACTGCATAGCTTAGTGCCTACCTAAACAAAACAGTAACATATGTAATTATTCCGTTTTACTTATCAAACTTATGTTTTATTAAATGCATAGATAGCAAATGCAGAGGAAATAAAATAAAATATAAATATCTTTGATAATGATTCTGCAAAAATCTAATATCTATTTGAGTTTATCAATAAAAGTTATGCGTGTATTTTAAAATATGGTAAAAGGTATAATCAAAAAATAATAATTTACCTTTTGATGGCCAAGTGGTACAAACTGATTGTAACTACGTGTTCCAGGTATTGTATTAACAGTATCCAATCGTTCCTAGTGTTGCCAGACGTTTGAATTTACCACCTATTCCATCACAAGGTTGCCTACCGTGCCTAAGTGACTAGTTGCAAAATAGTTCCATTTAGCAGTAAAACCAAAATCTTCACAATGGAAACAAAGATTTAACATATTTTTGTAATTCTTATATTGACCTGCACACCCATCTAAAAAGTATTCAATATTTTTTATTTGAGGTAAATTTGTTTTTATATCATTGCAAACCTCAATAATTTTATAAACCATGTTTACATCATGGATCATATCATTCGAAATAATACAATAGGATTTGTGCTTGAGAATGCCTTCTTTTTTGAAATAAATAATCACTAGATGAAGTGTACATTATAAATTTGTCCAATGAAAGCTTTGCACTTCATCCTGAACTACAAATTTATAATTTTCTGAAAAATCACCCCGAAATAATGCTGTTACCTCATTCATATCTTCCTTTCTTGATCTTAGGTATAATGCTTGACTCTTTGCTAAATACGAATGTGGTGCAAGTTTTTCCAGTTTTCTACATACTAGTTCAATGTATTCAAAAACTGGGTCTTTATTATGTGTCAAGTTTGACCTATCTGTTGTCGTCCATTGATCAAATTCAATCTCATCATCATCTTCAAATTTATATCATAAAGTTTTTTAACCAATGCATTCATAGTTGCTGGGCATTTTCCACATTTCCTCATCATACAGTCTTAGTTTATTAGTTATATCACAGACAATATAAGGTAACAATTCTTTGTATGTCAAACCAAGAGGATGTAAAAGCAGTTTTAAATTCTGATGAATAGCACAGACGCATACAGAATGTGTTCTTGAGGCACCAAACAGTAATACATCATTCAGGTCGCAAGGTGCAAAACCTTGAAAATTCTATTTTTATTTCTGGGTTCTTGGTTTTAAAGGCAACAAACAATTCCTTTAAATTACATAAGAGCAATCGTTTTTGCATGTGGACATTTTTCTTTATGCTTACATAGTCCTTTTTACCAGGCATTCTACGGCTATGTTCATCGTCTTCGTAAAAGGTCTTGACCAGTTAAACTGTTACATCAGGAAGAGCTTTCCCTAATTTAGGATTAGGCATGGTTAAAAATACCTTTTTCTAATATTAACTTACGTGCAGTTCGAGCTACATAGTTGGTTACATGCATTGTTTCAGATACCTTTTTTATTGACTAGTCTGTTGGAGCAAGTGTTGCAAGTTGTACTTTTTTGATGTTGATGTTATCAAACATCATCATGATTAAAAACCATCATGTTATCTTCATCATTTTTATTTTCACTTATACTTTTTAATAATTATGTCATAACTTTACTTCGACAGGTTGGAAACAGTTTTTTTAGATTTACCCCTATGGTTTCTGGTTCTAACACAGTATGCATTGTAATCACACGTAGAGATACTTAAAAAGAAAGTAATTACTTACTTAAATAACATTAATTATATATATTATGTAATTATATTACTATACAATTTGTTATATAAATAACTATGAAACATTGAACAAATCTTATTACCAAAAAAACTTTTATGATTTATTAATAATGATATTACCTAATGAAATATAAATATATAAATTTTTACCTCTAGACACCTTTTGGACCAAAAGGTGTCTGGAGGTAAAAATTTATATATTTATATTTACCAAAATTTATATATTTATATTTACCAAAATTTGGTGACTCAGAAATGGATTACAGCATTTTTTCTGATTACTCTCATATCTTACAACTAACATATCATGATGGTGTGTGCATATATTAGTAATTTGTTCTTGTTTCAGATTTGTTCGTTTTTCAAGTAGCTTACGATCATTGCTGTCAATATCTTCAATCAAATTTCTTTCTTGAGTATATGATTGTTTATAACAAGCTCCATAATATTTACAAAGCAGCAAATAATTTTGTTATCCATATAAAAATATAATGAGGAATCTCTGTCTAAACACTTAATACAAGAAATCTTAAATAATCTTAATGTCCCTAACAAGAAAAGTACACTTGAACACCAACAGTATCATACCAATATGTATTTATAAAGAACATATCGCTTGAACAAGTAGCTATTAGTCTAATAGACATATTTTAAATGCCTAACAATCTACTAATTATTGTAAAGTCTCGATTAACTAATATAATATTAATATATACCGTAGAACGGGGTGACTTTGTTAGGATTTTGAGCATTTTTGCAAAATAAATCTGGTTCATTACAATTTTTTCTGATTTTTTTTTCTCCCGTTATAACATTATACCTTTCCTTTATATAATTCCATTAAATATTTTTAATTTTTTTTTGTCTTAATATATATATTTTTAATCCAAAATGTTATCAATCTCACCCCGTCGTTTGGGGTGACTTTAATAGTCTATTATTTCTAAATGGCTTATTGATTTAACCCTCTTTACAGTGTCGCTAATACTTTCTTTTTGACTTTTACTAAATTAGAACACAACATATTAATAAACTTATAAGATTTACTGGTAAAATTATAAATTTAGACAACAAGTTTGGTTATCGAATATATCTACAGAATGGACAAAGAAAAAACAAAAATAAATTTGATGTTAATATGTTAAACACAGAAAAATAATATATCAATAACATTGTTATAGTAATTAGCAGTTATAAAATTCTGTCTAAAATCCATTCTGTCTAAATAGTTTTTTACTAGCAGACGTATATCTAACTTATCTAAAGGTAACTTCCAATCTGTCAGAATGCTAATAATTTGTAAAATCTTTTCTTCTGTATGGGGCTGTAATCTAGTCTGTCCTCCAGGGTTTTTCATATGTCTTAGCTTACTCTTGTTGTACAGAGTACTATATGGTATAGCATATATCTTAGATGCCTTGAAAATCAATATTCTGTTAGTTGAGATATTTACCAAGGCATTTTGCAAGTCTTCTGCTGTGTAAGATGCATAGGATCGATTACCTGGTTTACGTTTATAAGTTCTCATAATCCTTGCAATTCTCCTTGTGATATTTGTTGTTTTAACGTTTTTTTTAACTAGAAATAATCGTTTGAAACATTAAAAAATTACAATAGGATTGAAATATATAATACTAAAAATCATTTGAAAAACTGAAAAACAAAATTGTTTTGATTTTTCTGCAAATGTGATTGAGAGTAACCAAAAACGAGTGGTATATTCCAGTGGTATTATAACTGGAAAATACCACTTGAACATCTAAGTATAGATTTTTAGAAAAAAAAAAATTCAAAAAAATTAAAATCACAAGATTTTTTGGCATTTTTTGGTACGTGTAAAAATCGTTATTTTTTTGTTATAGTCATGTTATTCCTAACACATTTGCACAATTTAGAATCACTTCACAATCATTAAAATTTCAAAAATATTAGCAGAATATAATTATGTACAAGAATAAAAAAAAAAAATAGTCTCTAATTGTGCAATTTCACATGCAAATCATTATTTTTGTAACTAACAGACAAAATTATCAAAGTCACCTCGTTCTACGGTAATATTATAATATTAATAATAATTTCATTACATAATATCGTGTCATTAAATTCAACTAATATTGTTAAATTTAATGACATGATATTATGTAATGAAAATGACATTATTATTATGTAATTAAAGTCAAAAGATACAAATTTATAAAATGTTCAACTATGTTTTGTAATAACTTTGTAAATTTTTTACAAAGCTATTACAAAACAAAAATAATTGTATTTGTATTCAAAATATATTTGCAATTTTTTTTTTTGCAAAATATCTTTAGAAAAATTGAAAAACTAAAACATCAATAACTCCTTGATAAAACATAAGGCCAAATAAAAATTGGTTCGTAAAGTAGATATATGTTCAATATTTAAAATAACGAAAACCAAAACTTTTTTTCATCAGTCAGATTTTTTTCATCAGTCAGATTTTAGTTGTCAATGGCCTTTTTTTATATTTTTTATATTGTCATTAACAAGTGCGTTTTGTGGATCTAAAAATAAATTATATTTTATTGATTTAAGAGATATAAGTTTATGATTTTCAGATTCAGCAGGTTTTAAACTCCTTTGGTGCCAAGTTTAGCTTCGCAACTTTACTACAAGTTTGTTAAAAGGGTAATCGTAAATTGACATATTACCGGCTTTATCCCCCCTCTTTTTTCAGTCAAAAAATATATATATATATATATATTTTTTCCAGAAAAATATGAACAAGGTAAATTTACATTGAATATATTACTGGTAGGACTTCCAGAAGATCACATGATCTTATCATGAAGCCCTTTACAATCTATATAACGAATTAAAAGGTAGAAAATTTACAAATATTAAAAATTACATAAGCGTTAGAATATTCTTCAGATGTTAAGCAAGTTTTAACATAATATTTTATAATATGGATATATAACATTCTTAATATTAAACAATATTATAATATAAAGTATTCAGCATATATAGTTTAAACAATATTTATCACACAGTCGACAAAAATATCAAATAACTTGAAATACTAAAAATAAATAAATATATTTTGTGTTGAAAAGATTATTTCTTTTGTTTTCTTTTTAAAGGAGGAATAAGACCATTTAAAAGAAAAATCAAAGTTAGGTAAAACTATTTTATTCCAAAGAAATGGACCACGATAAGAAATACAAAACTGGTCAATTTTTTTTTTGCAAAACGGCTTTTGAATATTTTTACTATTACGAAGTACATAATTGTTTTTTGGTTTCAAATTATAGAGATTTATAAATACACTTGGAGATAAATTTTCTTTACATTTAAATATAAAACATAAAATATTAAAAATATTTAGTTCGTATATATTTAAAGCTTTCATTTCTATAAGAAGTGGTGTTGAGCTTGAAAAACGATTTCCAAAATTAATTATGCGAGCTGTGTGTTTCTGATGCCGATAGAGAGATTTAAGTTTGGTTTTGTGAGCGCTTTCCCATATAATATTGGCATAGTTTATATGGCAATGAATAAATGAATAATATAGTTGAATTAGTTGCTTTTTATTTAGTATATATCAAGCTTTGTATAGAACTCCAATGTTTTTAGCAACTTTCATTGAAATACTATCAATTTGCTGACTCCAAGATAAGTTTTCATCTACTATGACTCCTAAAAATTTTGTAAGTTTTTCTCTTTTTATGATTGTATTGTCAATGAATAGGTCAGGTAAGATATTTTGGATTCTCTTTTTTTTAGAGGTTGGGTGAAAAAGTATAAACTTTGTTTTATCCGTATTCAAGGACAATTTATTTTTTCTAAACCAATATGATATTCTTTTTAATTCATTATTCATATTATTAAAAAGTATTTCTATGTTTTCGTGCGACTGAAATAAATTCGTATCATCTGCAAAATTTACGGTCGTTAGGGTAGAAGCTTTGTAAAGATCATTTATGTATAATAGAAATAATAGTGGTCCAAGTATGGACCCTTGGGGGACACCGCATGTTATATTTTTTATTATTTGCGATGAAGATTCTTTGTTATAAACAAATTGTTTGCGGTTACTTAGATAGCTTTTAAACCAATTTAGGGTTTTATCTTTTATACCATAGCTCTCTAGCTTTTTTATTAAAATATGATGATTAACAGTATCAAAAGCTTTTGACAAGTCAACGAATATGCCTAGTGTGAATTGAGAATTCTTAAATGAATCGGCAATACTGCGTGTTACTTGGAGAAGAGCGTGTTCAGTAGAACTGTTTCTCTGAAAACCAAATTGATTTTCATAAAGGAGTTTATTATCAATAAGATAAGTGTAAATTCTATTATACATTATTCTTTCTAATATTTTTGAAAAGACCGGTAGAACTGAGATAGGACGATAGTTTGTTATGTTGGTATGGTCACCTGTTTTAAAGATTGGAGTTACTTTGGCTATTTTCAAACTATTTGGAAACGATCCTTGAGTAATAGATGCTTTGAAGATGATATCCTTAATCTCATTAAAAGAGTCGATTACAATATTTCCATTTATATCATCAGGCCCTATTGCTTTATTCCTTTTTAATGATTTAAATGCAATTCATTATAAGTTAGATTTAAAAAATTTATAGTTGAGTTTGGTGATTATATAAATTCATCAACAGAGTTGCTGTCTACATAAGGAATCTTGTTTGATAGGTTATGTCCTATTGAAGAAAAAAAGTTATTGAATTCGGCTGCGATTTCATTTGAATCGGTAATTAACTTATTTTCAAATTTTATAGCATTCGGCATCGTATTTGTGTTTGTCTTATGTTTGCTAGTAATTTCTTTCATTATTTGCCACACCCGCCTTGAATTATGCTTGTGTTTTATTAGCAAGTCAGAGTAGTAAATTTGTTTGGCTTTTTTTCGGAGTTTTTCAAATAGATTTTTGTAAACTGTGTAGTTATTTTTATGTTTGTCGGATTTATTTTTAAGATATTTAATATAGAGTTTAATATAGAGATGACAAGATATGTCTTTGGCGTTAAGAACTATTTCTCGAATAGGAAAATTTGCTTCATATATTTTGTAAAATATATTAAAAAAAGATTTGTAGATGATATTTATATCCTCATTAAAGTTTATATAGCTCCAGTCTTGATGTAAAAGTTGCTCTTTAAATAAATTTAAGTTATTGTTGCTATAAATTCGTTTTTTTAATGTTATTTTACCATTTGTATTTTAAAATCTCAATATTATCATCAGAAACACTCATATTGCTTCGAATATTATACGCAAAGTTTTCTTTTATGTAAAAAAGAACTCCTCCTCCACGCTTATTAACATTACGCTCTAAGAAGACTGTATTAAGATGGAGATTAGAGTTTGATTTAAAATCTTAGTTAGAGGACAGAAGTCGTCGTAACAACCTTCGGTTTGAAGGAATCGATGAAACTGAAGGAGAAACGTGGAAAAACAGTGAGGAGAAAGTGAAAAAGCTAATAAAAGAAAAACTAAATATAAACGAAGAAATACATATAGAACGTGCGCACAGAACCGGGAAGAAAGAAGACAACGACGGTAAAATAATAATAAGAAGAACTATAGTAGTTAAATTTCTAGATTATAAAGATCGTGAAACTATACTAGATTACTTCAAAAA